GTCACGGATAGGCTCGACGCAGGTGCTGATTCATCATCAGTTCAAGTTTAAGCGTAGAGCAAATTCCATGGTTCCCACATGGAAGTGGACTAAGGCAACGGCTGCGACTGTATGGTGCAAGTCGAATGTTGTATCATTGACATCACGATAAGGCAGTGCTTTGTCATTTCTGAGTAAATTTATGAGCCTATCACTATAAACGCGAATGTCGGTCCTCAGCTGGCTTGATAATTTAGTCGAGCCTTTGGGCGAGAAAGTAGTGGTCGGAGTGCTGCGAAGCAGCGAACGAGTAAATAGAGTTATACACCACTTCCAAAGTTTTGTTTACTTTTTGTGCCTTGAAAGTAATGGCTATGAGTAGCACATTGTTTTTCTTTTAGAGACCTATTTACAATGTGTTGACCACGAATGAAGAGCTCAGCGATGTTGTCTTGACAAGTATGGTGCTCGCATTGATGCAAGTCAAATATGAGATGGAAACTTACTGAACCCTTCCATTCCATCAGCAAAAGCAGAAAAGGACAGCAATACAAGGCCGAAGGCAACCGTCATCGTCACAACAGCAGTGGATTCAATTTACACTCCTTAACACACTTAAAAATGCTCTACAACCTACTTAAGCCAATGAGACGTCTCTTCATGACCTCCGGGCTGTTTCTGCATTCATACGTGGCGCGGTCATGCATCTGCAGCAGCGTACTTTCTGCCGCCTACAACCTCCTCTTCTGCCTCCGAGGAGTTACACAAGGCTTGTATTGCAGTGCATTCGTTGCGCAAAGTTATCCCATCAAACTCTTTCATTCCAATCAACAAATCAAAGCATGCTCTTCCTGGTTCTCCTAATGATCATCTGCCTGTGGCACTGCCTTTGATGAGGCTCCAAAGAAGTGAGGCTTTGAACCGCTCTAAGCTGTAAGATGTAAGTCTGTGTAAAACTCCGCACATTGTGGGCGTCGGTTATGTGGGCGAGTCAAAAAGTTTACAGATACTTATGGTTTCAGGAGCAGCATGTGGCAGATTCACTGAGGCAACATCCCAGCTTGTTGATTAGTAGTGACTGGCTAGTTATTTGGCATAATCGATTTCTGTAATTGAGGCGACCTGCCTAATCTTCCAGCTGGTTCGTTCCTAACGTATAGAAATGTGTCTCACAATATTGCATCTTGCAATCCGAATAAAACTCAATCACTCCACACCATTACAAGCCAGCATTGGTTTTGCAATTTTGGACGATCATGCGGAGATCGCTAACTTGTAAGATAACTCACATTTCCGATGGGCTATTCACCATTGTAGCTATTCAAACAATTCCAGTGATGGATTTAGTGTTTGATAGCGTCAATTAAATGTGTTCAGTTGATAATTTCATTCAATAACACTTTGGAACAACATAAACTTTTCTGTTATTCATTCTTCTAATATTGGCTGCATAAGTGCATGCACCATCCCATACGT